TGATTGAGATTAGTGCAGATTACAAAGTGTTGCATGCTATGGCAAGTCTACAGTGTTGTAATAATTAATACCTGTTGGCTTCAAGTGTCACCAACATGAGACTCTCCCTATTTATTGACCTTAAGGGCAGATGCATGCTCGTACGCTACCATCAAAATCATATAAGGCATTACTTATACATTACAGACAGATGTAAATAGCACTTAACAATCGCCACTAATGAGTACGTAAAGGGACTATTACTGTTAACCATTTTCCATTAATAAAGTTTCAAAAAGAAAATAAAACAAGTGATATAATTCCTGAATATTTAAACCGAGAGTTGTCTTCATCTATAGCTCGTCGGGCCGATTCATGTTTAAGTGTCTTCACTTAAAATTTGAAACTCCTCACAGAGTTGCTGCTTGTGTTGGTCATGTCCAGTTCTTCCACATCCAACATCCTGAATTGAAGGTAAAGGAAGATGAACAAATCAAATCTAGAAATGAACCATGAACCATTGGTTTAATATTTAATGGTGTGTGGTGTGATCTCTGTGGTTCATCAGTGGTTATAATTTTACATGCACAAGGCGACTCTTTAACTTTCCTGTATTTATCTGCTTTTCAACAGGGGGATGTCATGTGCAGACACAGTTAACATGGATTTTTTGTTTGATCCTTCACTAAATTACATTAGGGTCTCCCACCGGTTGGGAGGCAACCAGAGGAAGTTTCCTGTCGAGAAATATCGATACTGGTCGCAGTTGCTTTTTACAGAAATGTCACTTCACACATTTTGAACTTGCAGCAATCAATCTGCTCCCTCAAGTTTCTTTTCAGTGAGCTGCGACATCATCTTAATGTTTAACTGTGTGCCGAAAATTCAGACACTAAAGCCGAGAGTAATGAGCAATCATTCAGGAATTTGATACGGAATCAAATAGCTGTCAACCAGTGATGGTAACCCTGACTGGTTTATTTACTAAAGACAAATCTAAATGGCATTTAATACACTTGATGGATGCTAAGTAATGCCTGATATTTGTCCTATTTTCTAACCAGGTGAAGGTTCAGTCCAATCGTCACCATAATCTCATCCCTCACTGTAACTGGACACCTGCGTGCATGTAAACGTGTGTGACCAGATGACTAGGCCTTACCTTTAATAGATGAAGAGTACCCTTGTTCGGGGGAGAGTGGCATAGGTGGGATCAGCCAGTTTACGCACTCTGGAGTAGTTGACAAAGCCTCTGATGAACAGCATGAAGCCTGGAGAGAACAACACCATGAGGCAATTAGCCAAAATGTAACCGAGGAAATAACAGGAAAGGATTCTTGTTTATAAAAATAAATGTCTGTCACTTACCCAGAGCCAGGAACACCCACCACAACCAGTACTGCCCATCGAAGTAACCAGGGAAGTAGGTGGAAAACTGGAAGAAATATAAGATAGGACCAGTTAGTAGCTGTATTGATTCAAACCATTAAATCAACCCACATCAAAAATATACCTGTAGAGTAATACAAATAAGAATGAGTAATCCTGCTCCTTCACACCACTGGTACGCTCTTACCCTGACAATAAGAACCCATTTGATGAGGGACAAGCCGAAGCCGGAGATGGCCCCGTATCGGCCGGCTGCTGACGTGGTCAAACAGAATGACAAGAAGAAGCCGATCCAGTTGAAGAGGAATGCCACTGGTGACAGAAAGTGAATAATTAATGAAAGAAAAATGCTTATTTTTACAGCATGACCCATAAACAGATTTTTAATCAGGGAGTTATCAAACTGGCTGGCACATATTCGCCGCCTCCTCCTCCTCCTCCGTCTTCTGCTGGAAAACAAACTTGCACTGAGCGTACTGACACTTGGACCCAGTACAGTATTCCTTTTAGAAAATACCAGAGTCCTTATTCAAGAGCAACTGCACAACAAATCGTGCATCGTATTCACCTCTAGTGTCCATGTTTATATATTTATAGATAAATAACTAACTGAAAACCATCTGGTTACAAGCTCTGAGCAATTAAACTGAAAGTCAGTTTGCTCTTTTGGAGAGAAAAAACGTACACAAGTCAACTGTTGAAATGCTGAACGAGTTCTTACTGAAGAAAGTGAGCATGAAGATGCCGTCGTTTCCTATTCGCAGCTGGTCAGCATCTTCAAAGTCATCCCTGGCCACGAAGTCGTCCTCCTACACCAACAGCGAGAGATATGTAGACATATTACAATACCTTGGGTCTACCTCGGTTTTCTTTTAATGCTTTGTTTGAAAACTCAAAGTATTAACACATGACAAGGCACTTAATAATATTTCTAACTGTTGTTTTAAAATGAGATCAACCTACGGTGACTCTTCCAGTGACCAGGGGGATGGCTGCCTCTTCTTTGCTTCTCTCAGCTTCATCATAGGAGGGCAAAGTGGTGGCAACACTGTAGGATGGAGGGTTGGGAAATCTTCCTCCTTCTTCCTTGTATTCAAAGAAAGCTGTGGAGGCAACAAGCAAACCACTAAATATCCAGGTACAGCGGTGTTCTCTCAAAATAAACTCTTCTACATATAAAGTCGTGAGCATCAGGGTAGAATATACGTACGTTGGGTTAATATTTAAAGTTAAAACCATTAACTTTCTATACTTTAAAACTGAAGCAAGAGCTGTAGAGACTCTGTCATTGCAATTGTGAAGTTCACCTTACTGGTAACAATATAAAAAAAAGTCTAAATGTTATCATCAACTGACCAAAACCACAAATCAGTAGTTCTTTATAGATTTATAAATACTTTGGTGTGGAAATGATCTCTAAGTAAAGTCTAGACTGATGTGTGTAGAGGTACTGCAGTTTCTGACGCATACGCAGCCAGGCCTGTGGTGAACATCGGATTAGCTTTAGGAATAATCAATTAAAGGTAGGGGTGTAAGCAAATATAGAAAAATATCCTATCATGATATTTGGTTTTGTGATACTGTATCGATTCTCAAAAAGAGCTGGATGTTAGAGGGGCTGTGCTAAACAGAAACACAGATCCCACTTTTTTCATTCAGATTTTATAGATATGGTTGTGTTTTTTTACAAAATGAAAGTTTTTTCTAAAATGTATTAAAAAAAAAAATAGAAATCTAAATATATTGACTTTTTGAGCCCACCGTCGGAAATTATCTTAAGATTAAGTATAAAGTTAAGAAATATTTTATTAATGATCTGATCAATATTTTAAACCACAAGCTACGGTTGAGTTGTTCCAGGACAGGAGACGGTGATCGGTTGTAAACACAATATGGACATTACAAATGGCGGTAAAGAAAAATAAATCAAGTGTTAAAATTAAAGCAATCAACGTTGACTATTGATTTCACGTCACGTCTCCCGTGTTTGACCCACCGAGCCTCCCTGCCCTCCTCTCTTAGCAGACTTGTTTGCTCTTTATACATTTCTCTTGCTCCTCTCATTCATTTGAACCAAAATCGTGATCATTCCCTAAACCTACCGAAGTACATCACGTATGTAATGTTCGTAGACAACATACACACCATTTTCAGTGTTTCATCACCCTCACTATAAAGCTGGATTTAGTAACATACATCAGTTTTTTAAAAATGCAGATTGCGGTTGGTTAGAATTAAATTAATTCCACCTAAATAGGCAAATCATTTGTATTTTTGGAGAATATTTATGTAGGCAGACAAAAACAGCTATAACCAATTTCATGTTCTTTGTGGACACAGACATATTATTCTGATTCAGACAGCAGAACTCAAGGTTATTAAATGTTGGCTAATTTAACAGCTGTCACAATTTAGTTTAACTGCTGACAGACCAAACTCTACTTTCACTTCCTTTAATAAGAACAGCAGCAGCGGAGAATTATAAAACCAGCTCAGGGCGGTTTGACTTACAGCAAGGAGACAGACATTAGTAGTGTACACGTCCATTACTGTTTATGTTCGGTCCCATACAAGCCAAGACTTTCCATCTGGGTCATTTGGCAGCTCTCCAGAATGCTTCTTTGTGTTGTCCAAACACAACCAGCATTGAGCCCGATCAATGGACTCACCCAGGAAGAGCTCAAGGCTACACCCACTTATGCAACATGTTGACCTATGCCCTCTTAAGAGGTGAGATTAGAAACATCAGACCTTTCTAAAAGGGCCTGCACACAAGCTATTACCCTCTACATTATTAATCCTAAGGCTAACAGCGTGGGACACATTAGAACAGGTTGAAGTTGTGATCATATGACTCTCAAATGCAATGCACGGCTATCAGAGGAGCTTTACAGCGTAGAATAAAGTGACACAGCAGAAAGAACTCTTCCTAATGAATACTTTTGCTTTTGTTTCACTGCAAGCACTTCTACCCTCTTACTCCTTTAAGAAGACTTTTCACTTTTAAGTGAGTACGAGTGTCTAGTGGCACAGATATTTAAGGATTTAAATACTTGTGTTTGTTCCGAGTTATCCGACAGTGTGTGTCATGCGGCCGTGAAGATTTTCTGACCTGCATTTGCTGCAGCAATGCTGCTGTAGGGCGGTGGTGCATCCTGTGCAGGACCCTCCTGGGATGACTGGGCTGGCTCCTCCTGATTCACCAGCTGAGGAAACGTAAAGAAGAACACAACTTGGGTCAAAGTGGAATTACCTCCTTTAGGACTATGTGTTAACTGCGTGTTGGCTGTAATGAATGAAAACTATCTAAGTAGGTGGATTTTAAGAAAGGAAACAATACTGTAAAGCACTGCCGGGCAAATATGACATTGATAATGTACAGTGAGGTAATATTTGTCAACTGTTGCCACAGCGTTTATACGGCGGTAGCTCTCCCTGTATTTCTGATTGTACCGAGTCATTACACACATCGAGCTGCTTTATGAAAATATTGGATTTACAGGATTTTTTTTTCATTGTGTGGTTTAATCTGTAAAAAAAAACACTTTCTCATTTAAATGTCCAGTTGGTTTGCACTCTCCACCTACTGAACAAGCACAATATAGACAGACTGGAGGTGCTTTATGGGAACAAAAGCCTAGAAAATGTGCTGACTCCTCAAAGAGTAAAAAGGTGAATGATTAATGTCACACTTGTTTAATGTACAGTGCAACAAGTGGTTATGATTGACATGCATGCAACCATTCCTTTCTCCTGATATTTAACGATTAACTGCACTGTTTTTTTTTTAAATCAGTAACACAGAAACCTCTGATCCATTCAACTACATACTCTCTTATTAAACTATAAAAATGTGCTTTCACACATTATCTCCAGGCTGCAGCTTCACATTACCATCATTTATATTCTGTCTCTGGAGTTTTAGGTTACTGACAGGTTGGACTAGTCACTGATCCAGCACCGTCAGGTAGCACGACAGGTTTTTGGTTCAAAGCCGGGCACAAAGTGGCACACAATCCCCTTCAAGCAGCCGACACACTAGTTAATGTGTTAACTAACTAGCAGCTAGTTAGCCGCTAAATGAAAACGGGGTCACATAAGCTTCGAGCTACAGGCGATTAAATCACCTTCATCCACTAAATAGTTTATTCCAGTGTCAGAAAATGTGTTTGTTATAAGCTTTCTCGTCCACTCCGACCCGCCCATAAACAAATGGTCGGTGCAGCTCGTTGTTTTCCACTGACACACTAATGTTGACTGGCAGCAGCTAACGTTAGCCCCTTTTTTTTTTTTATTTTTTTTTTCAGCTTGTCCGCAAAACCTTTAACATACCTCCTGATATCTGACGTTGCTGTTTGGTTCTGCCATTGTGAAAGAGTGTGTAGAAGCGTCCTCTCCTCTTCTTCAGCTGTGAAGATGTGTTATATAGAAGGAATCTCGCCAACGAAGTAGCAGACAAACACAAGGTACCGTCGCTTCCTAGTCGGCCATCTCCTTCCTTCTCTCTCTCTCTGACGCTCCGTCGGTGGCAGGCTCGGCTGCTGCATTCAAATGCCGTCGGAATTTTTTTATACGACTTGTTGGCACTTCGAAGAATGTAAATTAATTTGATTAAAAATGTACTTCCGAGTGTCGAAAGTGAAGTATTCGTTATGCAAAAGCTCCACAGTGTTCATGTTTATGTTGTTTTTTTTTATTTTTATCAATGGACAATAATTACTGTGCAATCTATTGCCCATGTGCAACTGCTGCTAGTGTTTATCTGTCGTGGTTTTTTCCCTCTTGTAGTGTTTATATTATATATTATATCATTATATTTCATACTGTTCTTATACCGTCTTTATACTGTTTTTTTTTTCCACTTTGCTGCTATAAGATTGGAATTTCCCCATTGTGGGAGTATTAACAGAATATCTTATCTTTACCAGTGTTGATGGGCAGCATTTTAATCTAGTATTAAAGGGTAGAAATTAATAATTTGGTAGTTAACAATGCATATTTTATGAGTTAGAAACTGTAAAGTAACCATTAACTATAGCTTTCAGATAAATGTAGAGTAAAACTACATTTGCCTCTGTAGTGGGGTGTAATTGTTTGTTTGCATCTGAATAAGATAAAGTAGCATAAAACTCACAATACTATTAAAATATAGAACTGTATATTGTAAGGTAATTGTACAGTACTTGTTTGAATCACATGTTCTTGGTTTATTCCACCGCTGGCAACTAGGACTTTGTGTTGCTCCATTTCTCACACTAAAAACAGTTTGGTGAAAAGGCCATTTAGCCATTATTTGCAGCACAAATCCGGAAATAGAAGCTTACAAGGAGCACTTAAAGGCAACACGAGTTGCTTCATGTTGTCATGTGACAGAAGAACCAGACTGAATACATCAGCACACAAACATATACAGAGATATACAAATTAAATGCACTTTTTATTAAAAAAAGAACAAATGAGAAGCAAAGCTGTATGAACAATCACCTGAAACCTGAATAGCCTGCACAATACAAGCACCTGATTATTACTACAAAGATTAGTTTGAGGTTAACACCAAGCACTGCTTGATGTCCACCAATTTATCTCCATCAGAAGATAAAGGAATCACTGGAGTGTTTTTTTTTTTGACAAATGCCTCATGAATCCACAGTTTGAAAAAACATCCCCTCAGTTCTTCTTTGGCCCTCGGGGAGGGGCCTCCACCAGCTTGTTGTGCACATGCATCATCCCTAAAGAAAGAGCAAGGATCAGCATGTTTTCTATGTCCGTTTTGCTTAATGCAGCATGAAAGTGAAACATAGTCATTTAAGCTTTTCACAGAGCTGTTACTTTAGTCATTTAAGCTCACCTTTGAAGTACTTCACAGTTTTGACCCGCAGTTCCAGGGTGGCGTCTTCGTCACATACAAAAACCGTCTGTGGGTGCTGCTGGAACGCAGACACTGTCCACATGTGATTCACACCTTCCTCTATAGCTTTGTATAACGCAAACGCCTTGTGTGCTCCAGTGATGAGAATCATGACCTGAGAAGAAATCGAAAATGTGACCTGTGACTGAGCAAGTTGCAAATCTGTGTTCTTTGGTGTGTCAGGAAGAGGACAAGATCACGGAGCAATGTTCTGCAACTCAAAGCAAAGCTCTGACAGAAAGAAGGGATCATTCTTAACATATGGAGCATTTGAGATGTTGCAGAAACATAAAGCAACTGAACCAAAACACAAAAAACAGGACAGATGGTTGACAGTTCTAACCTCTTTTGCGTCCATAACAGTGCCCACTCCCACAGTCAGTGCCATGGTGGGCACCTTTGAAAGATCCCCATCAAAGAATCGTGCGTTGGCCATGATAGTGTCTTTTGCCAGGGTCTTCACCCTAGTCCTGGAAACCAGGCTTGAACCAGGCTCATTGAAGGCGATGTGGCCATCTGGTCCAATACCTGACAGGAAAGGAGTAGTTTTAATTTTAATGCCAAATCACCTGATACCAAAAAGCACAAATCTAAACGTGTCGTTGGTTATAGTATATTCATTGTCAGCACTGTGACATCCTGACCTCCGACAAAGAGCTCTATCCCGCCGGCAGCTGTTATCTTTTCCTCAAAGGCTTGACACTCTGCCTGCAGGTCAGCAGCGTTGCCGTCTAGGATGTGGGTGTTCTCCGCTTTTATGTCTATGTGCTTGAAGAAGTTATTCCACATGAAGGAGTGGTAGCTCTCAGGGTGATCTCTGGGAAGTCCTGCACAGGATTTTATGACAGTTTCTTCTGCAAGATCACATCTTTTAATAACTCCTCCTGAATGTGTAACCGTTTCACGCTGTAGACTTACCTACATATTCATCCATGTTGAACGTTTTGACGTACTGGAATGAGACGTCTCCATTCTTGTAGTACTCGATCAGTTTCTTGTAGCAACCGAGGGGCGTGCTTCCTGAAGACAGGCAAACGCTTACAAAGCAAAAGTGGAGTATTTCCCAAAATGGAGTCTTTACACTATGACTTCTCTACGTTTCTGAGGAGTTTTTTTGTTTATTTTTACAATGGCTATATTGAAAAGCATGTTACGTCACAAAGTATAATGTCTTGTTCAGTTTTAACCTCTGCATGGGGAAGTACATGTAGACAGTTCTTGCAGATCCATGCATCAATATTATGACTTTAAGCACAAATATATAAGCTTATTTCAATAAATACTTGCATGCATTTAGGTATAATTTAAGCATTTTTCCATTTATGGGTTGTATTGCATTGTAAGTAAATGGCCTGGTGGCTATTTCCGCTACTGACACTGAATCAGCAGATGTGAGGGGGATTTTTGGCGAACTTTATCACAGTTTTACACACAGAGATAATAACTACAATATCTCCTGCACCAGCTATAGCTCTTACTTACCGGTGGGGAGACCCAGGGTGAAGTATCTTTCCGGGCCAGGTTTGAACATTAAAATCTTGTTCTTAATGTACTTTGCAGCCCACTCGCTTGCCTGGTCGTAGTCATTGAGGATGATCAGCTTCATCGTCTTGGATGAATAAACGAAAGAAAGACAAAGAAAGAGCAACGGGTTGTTTGTCTGAAGGAGCTCAGCCTCGAAGTAAATCAGGACAAAACACACCTATATCAGACTTTAGACTCATCAAGGCAACTATACAATTCTGCAACAGTAAAACAAAAAGAGATCCCTGTTGAAGAAACAGTAGGTTTGTGAAAACGAGCTGACAAAAACAACTTTAACGCGAGCGTGTCCAAAAAAACTTTCACAGTAATACCAGAGTCCTAATTAAAACACCAAATAAAACAGTCCAAGCATACACCTTGTTACCTTGCAGTATCTGTGGCTTTTACACTGAGCAGACAGGATCTGGAGGGATCATGTGACTCCTGCTTTTGGATACAAACAGCGCGGAGGTGACGTTTCTACTGCTGGCTAATGCTAAGGAGCTAGTTTGATTTGAGAAAGGAGAGCAGAGAGAGTTGTCCTTAAATTACCTTCAGAACAGCTCTGTCGAGTGTTTTTTAAATAAATTAATAGTAATAATACATTTTAATGTTAAACAGAAACTCATTAATTCCGGTCAGAACGTTACCAGTGGTTGCTAAGTGACATAAAAATAGTGATTTAACTTCACATTTTGAGGGGAAATGTCTGCTTCATCACCTTATTAGGTTCATATTTTACCCATAAAGTTACCTACAAAACACACCTGCTACCAATAAAAAAACATATTTGTTCATTTTGTTGTAATTCTTTGTGAACACTGGGTGGCGTATCGGTGCAGCAAGGTGAGCTCACCTGGACAGGTAACTGTGACTGGGGACCGGAATGTGGCACTTTTGACCTTGAAGTCATGCACACACTCTTGTTTGTTGTTTTTTACTATAATAAAACAAGTTTGTAAGCTATGGTTAAGTTGTTTGTATAGATTACAGGTGTACGAACTAACTTAGAGATTTTATGCAGCCTCGCAGTTACTCAGGGGCTTTTTCACAGCAGCCATTTTGGCATGAAGTAGTAGGGTAAACAGGTTTTATCAATAATACTAATTAAGGTTTTCTTTCATTCAGGTCAAACAGAGTCAAGGGGTCTGCTATTGTGCATGTTGGCTCATTGAAAAGGCTCTGATACACTAACACCTGTGTTTAACCTACTGTTTTATGTCAAAATGGCTGCTGTGAAAAGGGCATATAGTCACCAGTTACTAATTATAATATCATATATCATTAAAGGAATTTATTACTTACTACTTACTATTATTTACCTAGCTAGCACGGCTGTAACCAGTATTTTTAAGTACTAGTCATGAGTCCCAGTTACCCCAGCACCAGCTAAAGTTTAATGAATTAAAGTAAATTTCACCTATTATTTAAATATTTCTCCAATACTTTTAACATAACCTGAAATAAATCTGTATCAGTCAAACCCAGCATGCTTCATATAATGTAATAGTTTAATATACACTCCTGTTCATATCTTCAAAACCCTCCAATCCCCAGAAATATGACCACAGACCCGTCTTAAATGATGGCTTTGGCCCCAATAGTTCAACAGAAGCGTCACCTTAGGTATCTTCCACTAAAATAATAAAAGACAGATACAAGTGATTTTCAATAACTTTATTAAAACCATATTGTGACACAGACCAGAACACGTACAGAGCACACAACAGAAATAAATACCATCATGTGTACAGCGCTCATTGTCAAACAGGCTTATTGCGGCTGGCTTTTGATTTATGTCATCCAGAAAGAGAGAGGGCATGCTATGTCATCAGAGAGATACCACCAGGAGCTGGGTTCAGTGTGCTAATCACCCTGCCTGCTTGTTGACTGTGGAGTGCAGTTCCTTTAACCTGCTCTGATATACACCGAGGCTGCATCTCAATCTGAAACAACCAGCTCCCTGTTTAGCTTTGCTTAGGGAGGGTGTCGGGCTGCTTTTAATCAAGGTCCATGTCAGGCTTGTTTTCTGTGGTTTCTGAGGTGGGGTTGCCTGTCTTCTCGGTCGTTCCCTTGTCTGCAGTTTCTTCCTG